ATGAAAATGAAAAAATTAAAAATAAACAAATGAGAGTACACATGAAAATGAAATTTTAAGAAAGAATTTAATTAATAAAATTCCTTACAAAAGATTAGTTCAATTAATGATAAAATGACGTAAGGTATTTTGTGAAGAGGGTTTTTTTTGGAAAATCAAAGAGCAAAAATTTAATTTTGCATTTAATTTTCAAATTTTTATAATTTTTTTTTAATTGATTTGACATAATCAGTCTTTTAGATAAGATTGACAAATTTTTTTAACGGATAAGTCAAATTGACAACATCTCCTTTTTGTTAAACGTCCAGTGAACGACAAAATATTAAATAACGAAAAGATATTTTTGCCACCTAGTAAGGCAGGCAATAAGCAATCGATTTTATTTTAATTTGAATTGTTTTTTTTTTATTTATATCGAGTTATTATAAACCGATTTTTTTTATTTCCGCAAAATTTTCAAAATTCTTAAAAAATTTGGCTTTCATATTATTTATATTCATTTATACTTTGATTTTATATGCTAAAAGTACTTCTGTTCTCTTTGATCTCCCATTTAAGGTTTAAAATTACTCAATTATGTAATTTATTTTATAAAAAATTAATACAATACTATTTTATCTTTAAATTAACAAAGTAATACAGAATTTCAATAATGATAAGGGCATTGAAAATAATATGATTGATCAGTTAAAGAAGTGCTGTTGTATAGTAAAAATAAAATAAAAAACTACGTTTAAAGATAAATCAGAAAAAAGAAAATCAATTTTTAAATTTTGAATTGAAAATTTATTGAAGAACATTTCACTAATTAAATTAAAAAAAAAAAACAAATATTAATTAATTATTATAATAAATAATAAAAAAAAAACCAATTATTTAACATTTAACGTTATTATGTCATAATGCACAAAATATTAAAAAAATAAATAATAAAGAAAAATACATGTAAGAAAACAATTTAGTCCTTAACCAAAAATAATTGTCTTTTTAGTTTTTGATTGATAATTAAAAAATTTCAATATCAAACGATTTGTTTAAATATTTTCATCCAACATTTTTAATATTCTTTTGATTATAACAGTAGATTTTAAAATAAATTTAATTATAAATTAATTTAAAATAATCAAGTGTTATGAACTTATTTCATATTCAATAATTTTTATGCAATGATGGTCTGATGATTCTCTTCGTGTTGTTGTTTTAGTACATTGCGATTTTATAAGACTAAAATTTTAATTAAATTTTAATAGTCTTATTGCTATCAATAATCAAGTTTACACTTTAAATGCAATTGTAAAAAACTCTCCCAAATTAAGAAATATTTGATTATTATTTTTAAAATTTTGGAATAAAAATGATATAATCACGCTAATAAATAATTAAAAATTAGTTCATAACTTGGTATTTTTTTTCATTGAAAAAAAAATCCTGTATTTGCTCAATTCTTGCATTAGTTATGTAACTCTTATATAGGGTTCTAAATATTTAATAACTCTGTAATATAAAATTAATTTTTAAAGTTATACGAATTAAAGCTATGTATAAGTTTTATATGTTATCGATTTTTTTTTTAATATAAAAACAGATTTTGTTAAAATAACAATAATGAATTTTGAATGAATGAATTTTCATAATTTTTAAATAAAATATGTATATATGTATAATTACATATTTGAGGATGAATTTCGTTGTATATTGAATTTAATATAAATGCGTATATAAAAAAAATCGATTAATCAAAATGTACGGATGATAATTATGACAGTGATATTGCGATATGGGAAGCCAATATTTTAATTTTTTATTTTAAATTTTAAATTTCTTATAAAAAATAGATTTAATTCTGTTTTTTATGCATATATACACCAATATTGTTAATTTTTTTGTTTTTTATGTGTGTCTACTACCTCATAATTATAATTATATAAGTATATTGTCGTCTTTTAGTATAATTAAAATTATTTTAAATATTACTATTATTATTTTTTAATATAAATAAGATTATTAAAAACTGAATAAAAAAAGCAATTAAATTATAAAAATATAATGTATAGAAAATAAATTTAATATGAAAGAATAATACATTATAAATTACCCTAAACGTTTAAAATAAAAATATTAATATTATATATGAAACAAAAAGTAAAAAAGAAATTGTAAATTGTTGAGAAAAGAAAAAAATAAATAAATAATGAAATTATAATTCTATGGAGAAAAATTTTAATCTCTTGTTTATTGTTTTTTTTTTAATTAAATCTTTTAGAATATTATATAATCCTTTTATTTATGTTGTAAGTCTAATTCTTAATAAAGTTTCTTTTCTTCAAATAATTTTTTTATATGTAGGTATATGATAATTAAATTTAAAAAGGGAAGATAAAAATTTTATTATTAAAATGACTAGATTTTTAATTTATTTGTAAAATTATTTACAGAGATAACTATGATATTTTTCAATTAGTAATCATAAATTTATTTTAAGAATTTTATGGTATAAGTAAGAATGGTTTCGGATAATAAATATGGCAAAACTTAAAATTTCATTTGAATTATAAAACAATGTGTGTATAACATAAAATCTCATGTTTTTCTTTTAAAATTGTTAATCAATTATAAAAATATAGTTTGCATTCTACACAATTATAAAAATATGTAATTTGCGCAGGATACTGTACAAGATTTTTTTTAATTTAACAAATGATTTTTTAGCATTACTATTTTATCAAGCGTGAATTATGTTAACAATTTATTTGTATTTCTTTAGATAATACATAGTTTTATTTACAGACAGAAAATTGAATTATATAATGCTCTTTGAAATGTAAATTTCAAATTCACCAATATTAACTTGAAGATGTTAACTTGACTTGAATTTTTGCCATTATTTCTGAAAAAATGTTGAATTTAGAATTTTTTAAGTAGTTGATATCTCGTTGATTATATCATAGAATAATATCTCCTTGCTCTGTAATGGACTCCTTTTATTCATTGTAATAAACCTTAATTTGTCTAAAAAAAAAACAACCATAATGTTATTTATAACACAAAATAAATTTATATGAATTTGTATAACATAAATTACAGAATTACATTTAATCTATTTAATATAGTAATTAACAGTATTGTTTTATTATACAAAAATTAAAAATAGTATATATAATTTTAATTATTATTTCAGTTTAAGTAAATATATATATATACATAATTTTCTTTGTATTTAAATGTTATAAAATAATTTAATTACAAAAAAATTATCAATTTTGCAATCGCATATTAAAAGACACTTAAAAGTAAAAGTTGTAGAATTATTAATAGAAGGAGAACGCATTTAATTAAATGTTATAATATATTTATTTAAGCAGAAAGAAATAAATTTTTATTATTGTTTGAAAAGCTCATCTTTTTAATAATAATGAATTAATGCGTAACTTTTCAAATGCTTGTTAATTAGTTTATATTGTTATGTTATATTTTAAAACTAATGTCAAGAAAATTAATAAAATATTTACTGAATCTCTAAAAATTATAGATTAATTTTTAGAAAAACTAAATTATTTTATTAAAAATTCCTAAAAATTTTCCTATAATTCCTATTTGAAATTAAATCCAGGCCTTTAAAATGTCTAATGTGTTTTAAAATTTTTCTTTTAATTTTTTTTAATTATAAATTTATTTCTTTTTTATTATAACTATTGTTTGTCAAAAATATATACAAGGTATAATTATTTTAATAATTTCAATGTATTATCTTTTTATTTTATTCAAAAATAAATAAAAACAAAGTATTCATTACTCTTTTAAGTATAAAAGACAAAAAAAAATAAAATAAATAAAAAATGAGTACATTACAAATATTTCACGAAATAAAAGTATAGGATGACAAGCAATGAAGATATTGTTTCAGTAAATGGAAAATAAAAAACAGAAAAAAATTTATATAAAACGAAAATTATTCCAATAAATTGGAAAAAAATGATGCTCTTAACTATTAGAAGATACGATTAAATTAATTAAAAAGAAAATAAAATAAGGAAAATAGAGAAAACAAAAACCATTCATAAAGTGTTTAAGAAAATTTAAAATTCACAATGGAACACAAGATGAAAGCAAAAAGTTGTAATATTTTATTATACACAATTAATTAAAGGAATAAATCAGAAAATGCAAAAGAAAAAAATTAATTATAAAAATATAAGTAAATTACGTACACACGAACACAAAAAATATGAAAATGTTAAAATATTACACACATAGTAACATTAATACAAAAATAATTAATAATTTAATAATTATATAATATAAAAAAAAGAAAAAAAAACATTAAAAAATATGGACACACACAAAAAGAGATTCAACATGAAAAAATAAGCATATAACAAATTAATAAATATAATGAGAAAAAACATAAAGAAAAGAAAAAAAAATTATTGATAAGTATTTAAAAAAAAAAACAAAAAAACCAAAAAAAAAACATGAAATTTTTGTGTGAATTTAAACAATCAGTTTGAAAATTTTATTATTTATTTTGTTATTCTTCTATTTTCAAATTCTTAATTAATTATATATAAAAATATAAAAAAAAATTGAAAAATAAAAAAACCAAAAAAGTTATTTATGAAAATAATTATGCAGATGATTTTAATTTTTTTATTCAATTTGATTCATACCTCTTAAGAAATCGTCAGACTTTAAAAAACCTGAAATAACTTTATTGAAAACTACATTCTAATGCAATCTTCGTAATAGCAATCAATACGAAAACAACCATAATACATAGTACACAGTGCTACTGTTCTCCTACTTTAATAACAAGGCCATATAGCATTCATTTGTTACAAAGAAAAGTTAAAAACTTTTTGTAGTTCTTCAATAAATATTTAAATTAAAAACTAACAAGAATGTTTCGTTTTTACACTAAAATTTCTAAATTATTGCAACATAATCAAAACAAAATTGGTAATGATATAAAATAATTCATTTTAAAATTTTTATTAGTTTTCATAAAAATTTATATATTACTTTAATATGTATATCATAAGATTAGGTATTTTTGTAGAATACTATTATTTAATATAATATATACGTTAATAATTATATATAATTATAAAATGATATAATCACTACATTTTCCATAAAAAAATCAACATCAATAAACATTACTGATGCGAATATATAATATATCTGCAATAATTTCTAAATGTTCTTTAAATATAATAATGATATTAATTTCCCTTTTATATACTGACAAGTTTTTGTCTTTTGAATTTTCTTTTTGATTTATCCTTTTCCCTGAATTCATCATTATTTTTGGATTCTTTTGATGATTGAACTTTTTTTGGTAACCATTTTTTAAAATTCATCCACTTTCTTGTTGTCTTTTTTGAACTAGAATTTGCAATTGTATGGTTTTTATCGTTTATTAATGGTGTATAAGCCTTAATATCTATTTCTTCGTTGTATGATTTTGGTATTTCAGATGAATTAATTTCAACAAAATCATGTAAATCATCAATATCTACCGCATTATCACTGTTAATTATTTGTGATGTTTGTAATTTCATTTTATTTTCTTTACTTTGTGAAATTAAAGAAACGTTGATACAATTTGATTCACTTTGTAAATTTGTAGAGGTTTCTTGAATAGAATCACGCAATTTGGCCCAAAAATCAAAAAGTTTACTTGAACGGTTGTAATCCAAATGCCACATAGATCTTAAAGTTGGGGGTAAATCACAATATTTATATAGACATGGTAAAATTTTTCGTTGTCCGTTTTCTATACCTAAACTTTGTGCATAATTTACTAAGTATTTGTTGGCGTTACTTTTAAGAAACTCAGGAGAATATATCACAATTAAACGATTACATCTATCTGATATTAAACGCATTACGGCTTCATGTTCAAATGAAACACCCCCAATTAAATCTCTGTCTTTAACGCATAGCTAAATAATTTTAAAAAGATAAAAAAAAACACAATTAGAAAAATTAAAATTTTTACCTTAAAACCTTGATCTTCCATTCTTTTTATTAGTTCAGTCACAAAATCTTCATCAGAATTATCAAATAAAACAAATGCATCATAATGTTGGGGACCTAAGTTTTTTTGGGCGTTGTAAACATCATCCACTGTTAAAACGTTCTCATCCGAACTTTGTAATGGTTTTACTGCTTTCATATTTTTTGAAGCATTACTCTTATAATATCTAGCGTCTTCAACTACAATTTGTAAGGATATATTACACATATACATATTTTTTTAATAAATTACTTGCCTAAAATTTCGTTTATATCACTAAGAACATCCCATCGATCGATTTCAACTAAAAATTTTATTAAATTGTCTACACTGGCAGTTTCTTCATTATCTTTCGAGCACCAAATTTGCAAAAGTTTTTCCATAGGATCAGAATGCATTTGAATGGATTGACCATAAACACTTCTCAAACCAGCCAAATCAGCAACTCCTCTCCAATCTCTTAATAATTTGTTTTCAGATGGAATTATTTTCATTCGATTTAAAGACAAGGATAAAATATTTCTGGCTTTTTGACGTAACGCACTAATTGGAATTTTATTAAAGTGTATATTATCATCGATTTCTCCATTTCCTGCAAGATTGTCTTCACTTAAAGACATGCTAGTTCCCTTTAAAATTCCTTTTTTATATTTAGTTGGGTGAAAATAATGTTAAAAATTACAAATCTTGAAAAAAAACTACCTGTTGATTAATTTTCTTTTTCTAACATTGACAATATTTAATATTGACATTTTGGATTTGGATAAGCTGGATAAAGTAAACTGAATAAACGTACGGTTCATTCAACAAACAATAATATAGTTAGTTGGATGTGATTACAATTTCGATTTCTTGTTTTTGTTATTAAAGTATTAACCATAATTTGAAAGAAAACTAAAATATTAAATAATTGCAATTATATTTGTTTTAGTTTTGAAATGCTATTGTAAATAAAATGAAATTACAATGGAAATATAGGATTATAATTTTTAGTTTATTTGTATTTTGGTTGATTTCGTTAATTCATTCCAAAAAAGATAAATATAACGAATAGAAGAATAGAATACAAAATGATAGCAATCAGGATAAAAAGAGAAAAGATATCGTAATCGAACAAAAACAGTTTGCTGAATAAGCTTATATTTATGAAACTCCAGGACTACCAACATAAAAAACATTAAAATTGGAATTCCAGCAATGCCACATGTTTAACCAATTGTAATATTATTATAGAGAACTTTAAAAATGTCGTATGAAATTTGAAAAATCAAACACTAATTTTCAAACAACTTTCCTTGTTCTTATCACGCAATTTAGAAAAATAAATCAAAAAAAAGTTCGTAGAATAAAATAAATTTAGATCGATAAATTTTTATAATTTACATTCCTCTTATGAAAGCAGGTGCATATTTTGCCGTTATGGAGAATTACCAAACTTCACAGGAAAACAAGAGCAGCACATAGTACCATTTTTTCATAAATTTTTATTATAAGAAATTGTATGTGTGTTTACACAGCCTACTTGAAATTCGAAAATCAAATTATAGAAAACTACTCGTAATAAAAATACATATTTACGCCCTGAAACAACTACAGCAAATTGGTATTCCCGTATAAATACATACATATAATATAATAAGGGGACAGGTACCAGAGAGGCTCTGTTTGGCATTCAGGTACTTGTGCAAAATTGTCGTGATGTGCACAAGGATGTCTTCTTATGTTTCGTCGATTATGAGAAGGCTTTTGATAAAGTTAACCATAATAAGCTAATGGAGATATTACGAAGAATAGGAATTGATGAAAATATTATGCTATGTATAGAAAATCTGTACTGGAAACAATCAGCAAGTATAAGAACTAAATATGGCATGACCAACAACATACTAATACAAAAAGGAGTTCGACAAGGATGCATACTATCCCCTTTACTTTTTAACATCTATGCAGAGGCCATTTTCGAAGAAGCAGTTAACGACGTTGATGTAGGGATAAAAGTCAACGGCACTTTTTTAAACAATATTAGATACGCGGATGATACAGTGATTATTGCAGACAACTTAGAAGGCCTACAACATATAGTCGACAAAATAAACCACCATAGCAAAACATTCGGATTAAAAATGAATGCATCTAAAACGAAGTACATGATCGTAAGTAGAACAAGAACGCCGTACACAGCGGCCAGGATTGAGATCGACAACATTCCAATCGAACGCGTAAAATGTTATAAATACCTTGGATGCTGGTTAAACGAAGACTGGAATTGCGAAATGGAAATAAAAAGTCGTATTGAAATGGCAAGAAATGCTTTTATGAAATATAAAAAGATTTTGTGTAACAGGCAGTTAAATTTGAACTTACGCTTACGATTCATGAAGTGCTATGTGTGGTCAGTACTCCTGTATGGAGTGGAAGCATGGACCTTGAAAATCAAAGACATCAATAAAATAGAAGCGTTTGAAATGTGGACGTTTAGAAGAATGTTAAGAATCTCATGGATGGATCGCGTTACAAACGAAGCGGTTCTACAGAGAATGAATACAAAACGTGAACTATTCCTGAGTTTAAAACGTCGCAAAATGTCTTACTTTGGCCATGTAATTCGCGGAACAAAATATGAGCTTCTTCAACTAATAATGCAGGGGAAGATTGAAGGCAGAAGAGGAGTAGGGAGGAAGCAGTTGTCGTGGCTGCGAAACATCAAAAACTGGTCCGGAATCAACAACATCGGAGATCTGGTACATGCGGCAGCAGATCGAAACATCTTTCGTGATCTGGTTGCATCGATTCAATAGCTATTGACTGTATAAATATGATCGCCAACATCTGGAAACGGATAGGCAGCAGAAGAAGAAGAATATATACTTATATGCATGGAGGTATATATAACAAATATTGAAAGTTAAGGTAAGTGCTATTAAGGTAAGATATTGACTAGTTTTCCATTTTTTTCAAATTTACATGAAATTACACATAATATATTATTTATCAGCATAATGTATGTATAATGAAAATGTATGGATTTTTACATTTATAGTAAGAGCCAGTGTAATAACTTAATCATTTTTAAACTAGAGGTTAAAAAGAAATGAAAACCAGTTTCAATTTTAAATATAAACTTGCACATTATGAATATTTGTAAAAAAAAATTATTTAACATTGACAAAGACATTTGAGTAAGTTAAATTGAATATAAGAGAAGATGAAAAAATTTTTAGTTTGTTTGAATGTAGCCTAATAGAAATATGCGCATATATATATATATATATATATATATATATATAATTGACATGCATAAGTATACATATATACGTACGTATACACATATTCTTGTTTGGATATTATGCCACATAAAATGGAAAAATGCAAAGGAGTAAATCTTTATTATCTTAAAACCAGATTTTAAATTCGGACATGAAATTTAAATGCGGAAATTGAAAAATTTGAAAAACAAAAATAAAAAAATTCAAAAAATAAACTTTAATATTGACTTTATTTCTAACAAATTTCCTGTATACGTTATTGTCAATATAAAAGGAAGCTGCGCTGAGAAAGAATTAAAAACAAAATATGTGAATAAAGTTTATTTTGTGAGAAAAAAAAGTTTATACACAAGTAGGTACAGACAAAAAAAATTTGTTAAAAAAATTTAAAATAAAAAACGGTAAAATATCCGTTTATGTTATTATGTATGTTTGTATGTTCTTGATTCATATAAGTAAGTGACGTTGCAAAGGATTATGTAAAACAAATGTTAAGGAAATATAAAATTTAAAAAAATTATAATAATACTTTTTAGTTATTTATTTATTCATTTTTTTAAGGTTTTGGGTTAAATTATGATATAATTAATGGTAAATTTCACTGCAAGTGTGAGCGGACTGGACGAAATATCGAAGATTAGCATTGGAGATTTAGATAGATTCCTCAAGAGAACCGAGTGGTTTAGACAGACCATCTGAAATGGTACGCTCAATGACGGCCTGGTGATGGCGGGGTAATGGTATAAAAACGACACATTTGTGCGCTAATTGGGGTGCGGTGGAAATGTTGCATCGACCACATCAAGCAACCAACCAAAATATTTTTATTTTTTTTTTAAATATTTGAGAATACATGAAATGTCTGGAGAACTTTGCTGTAATATGCACAAAGTAGAAATGCAAAAATCAAAAAATTTGCTTAAAATCTTTAACCTGCCTGATTTTTTATTCGGGATTACAATAACAGTGAATTGAGTTCTTGATATTGAAAACAAAACAAGACGGTATTTCCGCCTTCAGAAAAAAATTATATTTATTTATACAATTTATTTAAATCAATGTTGCATTTTATTCATAAATTATGTTAATTTTATGGAATTAAGGTTTTAATTTATATGCTAATTTGATTTTCACCCAAACTAAATCCTAAATATATACACCCATATATTTCAATATAAATTTAATATACATAATACTTCAAATATTTTTGCATCTTTGTTCCAATTTGTCGTTTCAGCTAACTGTATTCGGATGAAATTTTTATATTTATGTATATTTCTTTTGATACTTAACATGTTATTTTATACAGATGATTATGTGAATATTTTAATAAAAATATTACGAATTTGGTGAAATTTAATGTTATTTAGTTATAAAAATAATCGATGAATTCGTCACATAAATGATATAATGTAAAATATTTGAAAAATTTGCATTATTAGGTAAATATTATATACAAAACTTCATATATGTATTGTATACATGTATTTGATAAAATTTATAGGCCTTTAAAATATTCAAAATACAATAGTAAAGTAAAAATTGTATTATGTAAAAATTGAAAATAAGACATAATTACAGTAAAACGCTAGAGTAGATTTAAAATTTCATTCTGCTAAATAGGAACTTACTTCCCAATAGATGTATGTCTTCAAGTTCTGAAATTATTAACATACCTCATTTCCTGCACTTCCCTATTCAATTAAAGTGCCTAAAATTGAAACAAAATTATATCACACTTATAATATTTTTATCTTTTATTCATTTGTATACAATATAAATACATATACCAACTTTCAATATGTATCTAACATTTAAAAAAAAAATTATTTTAAATTATAACATATGTACATACTTTAATTTACTAGAGAAATTATCTCCAAAACTAATATTGTTATTCTGTTAATTATACCTTTGACCACATATTTTCATCTTCAATAGACGAGAATAAAATATAATGGGACAAAATAATTGTAAATCCCAATAAAGAGTTATTTGTGCTTTCTTATGCTTTTTTTATGTTGACCGCTCTCGTATTTAAAAGAAAATAAGAAGCAAAAAATAAATTTCTTGTTGAAAAAATTTCAGCGCTTCCGCTGGAACAGTACATTTATTTCCCATGAAAAATATATGTACATATGTACATATGTATGTATAAGTAGGCTAATAAATAAAAAAAATCATCATTTATTTTTTTACATTTACAAATCATTTTCAAAACGCTCTTAATGTGTTCATGAATTAATTTTGATAATAATAATTGTTGTCCATACGTGAAGTGAGAAAAAAAAAAATAGTAAAAAAAATTATTATATAAACCTCGAAATTTTTTAAAAAGTTTGTAATAAAAAACATGAAAAGCAGTTTAAAGTAAAAGTTATTCAAAAGAAAATATATTGAAAAATAAAACAATAAAATTGCATAACTTTTAATAGATCGTCAACAGGTTTGTGAACTATTTCAAGGGTCACTCAAAAAAATTACTAATATCTAAAACTTATCGCAGGTTAAAATAACTTCAAATAACTCTACGGCCTATAGTGATACAGTGTTGCTAGATCATTATTTTCATTTCCATATTTTAGTTTTGAAAATATAGTTAGTCTTCTTTGTAATTACCCCGGATCATCCCGTATGTTATTCGCACGCTGTTATGTTAAAGAACATTTATATTTTTTACAGATAATTTTTCTTATTTCATTGCTTTATAGTTGTTTAGTTTCACCGCTAGAGTATTTTTGTTCTTCACATTTATATTTTAGAGTTTTTGACAGCATGGGGTCCGTTTATACTACCTAAAGTCTTCCAAGGGCCATTCTGGCTTTTTATATTGATCTCAATTTTTTCTCCATACGCTATAATTACTCCTTTAGTCATTTTTATTATTTAAATGAATTTGATTTTTTCTTCAAAACTTAGCTTTATATTTCTGTATTCAGTATTTTACTTCAATCCAGTATATAAATTTTTCAAATACGCGTCGCATATTAGCAATCTATGTATTTGCGAGTATGTGCAAGAAACGTTAACGTATATTAATAAATGCGTTAAAGGTTATATAGAAAAATATCAAAATTAATTTACAAAATAATTAATACAAAAAACAAACAAGAAAAAAGAAAAAATAATAATAAAAACGCAGCAAAAAATTTTTAAATAAAACACACTTTTTTTTTATCATTATTAAGTGAAAGTGATTACGAAATTTTTTTAAGTGTAGCACAGTCAAATACATACGTATATCACATATTTGTAATCTTACAACTTGTACCAAATTTAATTTATAAATTTAATAATGAATATAATTATTATAATCATATATAAAGTTATGTGTGTTAAACTGTGGCATCTAAATTTTGAACTTCATCATCCGAAAAGGTAAAGAAATTCCTAAAGCCATCTTTGTGTTAAATGCTTTTCAGGTGATCCAATAATTGTAACCTTTAAAGTTGGATGTATAATGTCTAAAATTAACGTCTACCTAATTTATTTCCCAGTTTATTGCTTATTATACTGCTTTAACTGCAAAGAGCTCTATTCACAATAGTTATTACTTGCACAATAGCTTTTATAACAAAATGAAAAACCTAAAATTGTATTATTGCGTCTTTGAATAATTGTACGGCTGCCAACATATTGAGGTATCACTGTATTAATTAAAATTACTTCACTGAAATCATATTGTTCATTTTATATATTAGTAAAGATGCTGATATTTTCAAAGTTTTTTTCTTAAGTCTTCCGTTTCTGTTTTTTTTTTCTAATTTTTATATTAAAAATGTATTTGTTGAAGAATAATTTAAGAGCGAATTGTTATATTTGTTGTATACACAAATATTAATTTTTTTATAACAAACGTTGCATTTAAAATGAGTAATATTAAAAAAAAATTTTTATTTGGAAAATTTGAAAAAGTCAGAGTTATTTAAAATTAC